AATTTATACACACGTTGTTATGTGACCCTAGTTGCTCTCCCTATAATGTGACAGAGGACTCCTCCTTTCCACCCTGGATTTCCCGTGTTCATTCAACCAGCTCCTGACCCTCTCTGCTTTCTGATCTGAAAGAGGACTTTTGAGATTGAATAAAATCATTACTGCAGGACCACACCCAAGCTCACTGAGATTTCAACGACACGGCTTCAGATGCTACGTGTGTTCTGCGGACCCCATTCCCCGCCCACGTGACTCAGCCAGGTGGAGACAATCCCAGAACTGCACGGAGGCCAGAGGCCTTGGCCAGCAGCCTGTACAGCAAGTGCTCGGTGGGCTCGGGCCCTTCCCGTGAGCACCCCCAGACCGGCACAGCGGGTTCACCCCCACATCGACTTCACATCCATACCTGCAGGACACTGCCAGATTTGGTCACTGCTCCTGTGACTTTTCAAAGAAAACCTTATTTTCACAATTTGTACTTTACAAAGTCAAAGAACCATCCAGGCTTCCCTTTGTCTGGGTACAGATTACTTATGTAATTGCTCTTTGGCTCAGTTTAAGGCACTCGTAAGAGGACGCACTCAGGGCTGACAGCGGTGTCTCCGTGGTGTTCGGTACAAGGGGCTATGGTAGAGAACCTCTGTCCCTACCCGCCCACGTCCATGCTCGCAGCATTGCCCACTGGACTGGGGGCCTGGCTGTGGCCAAGCTCTCGGCTGGCAGGCAGCCACTGGTGGACTCCCACAGAGCACCGAGGCTGGGGGTACGAGCTCCTGGCCGCTGAGCCACACTGAGGGGTGCTGTGATCCCCAGCCGGTCTGTCTCCAGAGATCTCTGCCTCTGCAGTGACCTGCACCTGGCCCCGAGCAGAGGCGGCCTGAGGAAGGTTTTGTTCCTTGAAACCTCAAGAAGCTTGCCTAGAAGATCCCTGAAGGTGGAAAGGAGGTCAACTGAACAATGTGCTGAGGAAAGCTACAGCTGTTCAAAGTTCCTGTGTGATGTAAATCCTTGTGCTGGATCACCAGCCACCGGCCGAAGAGCAGAATCCACTTGCTTGATGATCGGGTAGACAGGCTATCTAGGATGGGCGGAAAGGTCATCTACAGCAGGAAGACACCTCACCTAGAGCGGGCGGGCGGGTTGCCTAGAACGGGCAGGCGGGTCGTCTAGCGTGGGCAGAGAACTTATCTGTCGTGCGATAATAGGACTGTTTCAGCAGCTCTGAGTGTGATCCAGGACACAGGTGCATCTGAAAAGCCCACAGTCACTAGCACACCCTGGGCGGTCTTTCAGTAAGTCCCACAGCTTGCAAAATCCACCCCTACTGTGAATACTCTCCCTATGTCTCCCTGTTTTCTCCGTATCTTTCAGTTTGCAATGCTGCAGTGAGAAAACATACACACACACACACACACACACACACACACCCCCTCTCTCACACACACCCTCTTCACCCACATTGGGATTCACTCACCTGGAAGATAAATCCCTGTCAGGTGACCCACTTGTCTCTTCTGACTTACTATGGAATGCCACCCTCAGAAGCTCTAAGAATCGATTTGCAAAAAGAATCAGAAACTATATCACTGGAAATTGCTATTTATTCCAGTGTTACATTACCCAGGGGGAAAATGATCTTTAAATGACCTTCAAGTCAGCCAGGCAGTTTCATGGATGAGAGAGTTAAAGGACAGAGAACAGTTCATACCTTCTGTTCCTTGCTCACGTGGAAGCCAAGGCAACTATTTAGCACCCTAACCCAGTCCTTAACTTGTACCCTAACCCAGTCCTTAACTTGTACCCTAACCCAGTCCCTAACCTGCACCCTAACCCAGTCCTTAACCTGCACCCTAACCTAGTCCTTAACCTGCACCCTAACCCAGTCCTTAACTTGTACCCTAA